AATGTCCTGTGTTTGTGCTGATAATACTTTGGCCTCGAAACTAACTCTAATCTCAGAGTTATCATATGATGATATGATGTTGAATCATGAATAATTTCCTTTTTATTTTTCTCAACTTTATTCTTCAAAAAATAAAGTGCAATTAAATTTTATTCTGTTGTATATTCAGCACTATTTGCAATGATTGTTAACGTTGAATAACTTTTGAATATAATTACCCAGGTTTGACGATGAACTTTTCGACAGACACTTTAATGATTTTTCATTAGAGAAATTTTTCGCCATGAAAACGTTTTACAGCGACTGAAAAAAGTAATAAACAAGGTGCAAGGTCAATAGAATATGAAAGGTAGGGCAGAAGAGACCAATCAAATTCCAAACTTTTTTGTTTCCTGTGTTATCCTTTCTGTATGCGGCTTTGCGTTCTTATGGAGAAAAAAAACAAACTTTCTTTCTTATTGATAAGCGTAGGGCGCTCTTCGACTAAACTTTTATGGACACATTCCAGCTGATGGATTTATATATGTGCATTTAGTTTTTCACTGCGTTTTAAGAACTGTAAATGAATAAGTCCTTGGCGATTCCATCATTATCATTCTTCCATGGAGCTCAGCTTTTGGGGTTGGTTTGTTGTCATATTCGTGTTGATTCACTGCCCTTTACGTTGAATATTGTCGTCTACAGTTCATTTTTGTTACCGGTTATAATGTATTTAATAACGGTTAGTTAAAACGATACTTTCGTCGTTACATTTATTTCCCCAAAACGGAACTAGAAACCCAATCCTGAACAGGAAACACGGGATAAACCTCTTCAAGCGCGTGAATAAAATTTGTATATATATAAAAAAAAATATTAAAAACTCACTGTATTTATTTAGTGTTTTGAAATGCTTCCCTCTTCCGGATCTAGATAAGATAAAATGTCCTAATTATTTCCCTCTCATATCTCTGGCTGTCGATTTCTAGGAACTGAATGTCTTAATCCTCATTCGCCGGAAAACCGACGGGAGAGTCATATATATATATATATATATATATATATATATATATAATATATATATATAAAAGGTGGTACTCGTTTGGAAAAAACTCGGATAGCTCAACTTGCAGTAGAACAAATCCGTACCCGAGGAAAAATGGGGAAAAAAATTAGAAAGAACTAAGAACATTAAACCAAGGCATCGTCCAATGTTACAAAACGTGTAAAAAGACAACTAGCTAAAGTGCTCAATACACTAAGTAGAGCAAGGAGCCAGTTAAACCTACCTAGGTTTCACCTAAACTGATCCTCAGGGTAATCCTGGCTCCAGGATTACCCTAAAGATCCATTTGCCTCGTTAGGATTATATATATATATATATATATATATATATATATGGATGTATGGATGGATGTATTCTTTTAGAAACTTTTTTTTTTGTCAGTTCGAATGTACGGGCCATATTTAAGAAGCATTTTCGCTCACTGCAAAATGCTTTGGTAGGGGAAAAAATTGTCTATTGAAAAACCTGATTCAAGAGTACGTCGAAACCGTTTTTTCCATATCAAAAGTTGCGAACGTCTACTCAGAAGTATTGAAGATCTGATAAGTGACAACGAATAATTGCATATAATGGTGGATATATAATTAAAAAAATGTAATTATACTTTACTTTTTAAAGGAGAAAGGTGATAAACAAAAAACGGAAATTACCTATGAATCAATGCAATATGTTAAGCTAAATCCTTATAGATTCTTGCATAAACGACTGCTTGCACACACATAACTATCCGAGATTCAATAGTAAGAGAACATAAGGCGTAAAATGACTTCCTTAATGGAGGAGAAAGAAAAACAGAACTCAAAATTAATTTCTTAGCCGATTGATTTCGAGAGATGTGTGACTGATGTGATCGGACACGAGAACTACTGGTTAACTTGTCACATGTACAGACTGTTCAAATTTCGTGAACTTTGGGGTAGCATCTTCGGTATGTGCCTGTCTATAAGTGGGGCGTGGTGTTTTCTTTCTATTATCACACAACTATCTTATTTGTTTAACAGTTTCTCTTTCTCTCTTTTTGACACCATAGACGATGATTTACGTATATGTGATATGCTTGCGTCACGGAATCCAATAACCTGTCCTTTTTCGGATTTTATGATGGAAGAAATCGCGGTAGGAGGTCATTTTAGAATTAAATCCAGGAGACAATGAACAGACCCTTGGTGAAGGGAAGGTAGGAATTAATCACATGCACGCACACACATATAGACACAGATAAGGTTAGATCAAAGTACATATCTTTGTTTCTACTTGCTGTTTTCTGTATTGTTATTGCGAGACAATGAAATGTTTTGGTCTAAGAGTTTCAGTGTGTGTGTGTGATATATTTAGGCAGCAATCCTTCATTTATACATATTTAATTAAAGACAACGGACAAGGTACTGCGATTAAGCTTTTTATTTAATTTTTCTTGTGTTCGAACAAGTTTTATTTTCTGGACGCAAAGTGTGTAGAAACTGTACAAATGTTCTGTAATTCCGAGCGCTTTCGGCTATATTTATAGCCATTGTCAAGGATGATTTTATTTTTGCTTTTTAATTGGGTGTATGGGTTGTGTGTACATTTCTAGAGTTTTAGGGATATTTTATTTTCCGAACACAGCACATTGTGGTTGTTTTCGCAGTTAATACTGTCTGTCGTCTTTAATGAAACATTAATATATATATATATATATATATATATATATATATAAAATGTTCAAATTTACTTAATCTGGTACAAAGTCAGATATAAGAGAACATAAATAGGAATACTTGATTCTCCCATTTTTCAGGTGGAGAAGGCATGCATATTGATATTCCATTTTTCAAATTTGGTTTTAATGCAAACCACTGGCCTTGGTGGTAACTAATGGCAACGAAACTAATTAATCCGTCTGGTATGAAAATATCGGGTCCTATTCACGTGTGTCTGTTCAAGAGACGAAAGCAAAGAGATTTTAAAAAAATGTTCTTAAATGAGTATTTTGGTATTATCAGAATTTTGATGGAGCAAAATCGGAAATAAATACGTTCCGCTTATTGCGGTTAGAACGAGAGAAAGACAAAACTGTATATAATGAAAATGCGTTGGGATATCTGAGTATAAGAAGTGTCCATTAATCAAATTACCTTATCACACCTGAGAACCATCTATATAATATATCCGAATGTCAGTGGATCCGGACACGCAATCTTGAAATTTTGGATTCCCAAGTTTTCATTACTGCGATCGTTTTCGGCAGTTTTATTTTGTGACGAATTTTTTGTACGATAACAATTTTCATAACTTGGAAATAAAGTTGGGATTAATTGAAATTGAAGTCCAGCGAAAGTGAACCATTAAATAAAATTAATTGTTTGTAGAGAAATTAAGGATCTACGTACATAAAATTGTCTTAAAATTAAGTGGCAATTTATTTATTAAAGAAAAGAAAAATATCGTTAAACTATTAAAAGGCAAGTATAAATATTAATGCAATACCTAAATGCAGCGATTAATTTTGAGTTCTGTAGTGTATTGTCCCCTATAGCATCTACTACTCCCTACGTACTGTGATGAAGGCCCAATTAAGAGCTCTCAACACGAGATAGCTTAAACACCGCCCGATAGGACGGCTTTTACAGTGGTATATATTTCTAAAGAAAGGAATAGCTAGGGAAACGCAGGTTCGAATCCTGCCAGAGAACGCATATTTATGTAATAAGATTTCTCGAATATTCAGGCTGGTAGACGAAAATAAATATTGTTTAATAAATAAACGGAGCGACTACTAAAATACGGGTAACTGCTAAAAATAACGTTTAAGTAATATAGAAATTCGAGAAGTTGATATTTGTTTTCCTTATATCGTTTTGTCTTTCATTCTAACCTGAAGACGACGAAGAAAGCCGAAAAAATAGCAGACGCACTTGGCAAAACGCGTCGTGTATAGCTTTTCTACCTCTCTTCGTCTTATTGTCTTCACTTTTGCTTGGATACTATTATGCATCCTACAAAAACACACACACACACATATATATATATATATATATATATTATTTCATAATTAGTAGGGATAATTCCAAACATGATATAAATCGAAAGAGAGCTCAATGTAAGAACAGAGCAAATATAATAATAATGAAAGCAGAGACTTTAGAAATCCATGGTAATAATTTATTTTATGGGATATAACGTGAAATGAATTATTACCATGGATTTCTAAAGCCTTTTCATCATTATATATATATATATATATATATATATATATATGTGTGTGTGTGTGTGTGTGTGTGTGTGAAGAAAATATTTTCTCGGACACAATTGCATTAGAAGTATTGTGGAAAATGCTAAAAACTGGCCAGCCTTGCGAAGAAGAACATTTTGATGTAATAGTTTACATTATTTTTTAAACTTAAGTGTATTGCGTTTTGTTTAAATTTAAGTTTTGAAAGGTTTGAACCAAGATTTGTAGATATGGATCTTATCTGAATATGTTAACTCATATCTGGAGCAAAATGTCCATCTATGGATGAGGAGGACGCGTGTGTGTAAATTGCCAGCTTGAATGCGAATCCAACGTCAACTAAAGAAGACATTCAGACAGAAATAAATAGGAAAATGTCAGCAGAATAAGGAAGAAGAACAATGAAACCGGCTGACGTAAACTAGATAAAGTAATATATATATATATATATATATATATATATATATATATGTGTGTGTGTGTGTGTGTGTGTATACATTGGGTTCAAATACAAATCAAATATAGTTCGGAATCCGACACCATGATAAAATAAAGAACAAATAGAAACGTTTATAAATCTAACATGTTTCACTTTCATTAAAGCTTCATCAGAGAATGAGATATGGAGAAAAATATCTTATTTTTATTATGCGTTATATATATATATATTGAACATTAAAAAATATATTAAAAAATCATATTATATATATATATATATGAGAGAGAGAGATTGAAGGGGTAAACAGAGACACGAGAGAGAAATATGAAACGAAGAAGAGAGATTGAGAGTGCTGAAAACTAGGAACATAGACATATAAAAGACGAGGGGAGAGGTAAAAAGACGTGGAAGAGCGAGAGGGAAGAGAGAGAGAGAGATTAAAAAAGATTTGCGAAAGTGAAATATAAAAAGAGAAATGAAGAAAAGACTGATAGATAAAAAGAGAGAGAGAGATAAGAGAAACGTTAAAGAGAGTGAGATATAAAAAGGTTAGACGACGTAGAGAGTTGAACGTGACGAGGACAAGAGTGAGAGATTAAAAGATATAAAACCAATCAATTAAGAAAAGCAAGCTAATGTGGCGGGTAAGGGGTGTTGGAATTTAGGATTCATTTTTTGCTCGTGAAAGACTGAAAAAAGCCAAGGAGTGACTCGAAGATAAAGATTCGTCAGGGGAAGGGGAGTTTAAAATGAAGGTTCGCAGGGCTGTGTTGGAGGAAGAAGTAATTTAATAAGCAATGGGAAAAACATGCGGACATCGCCGGTTTGAACGGAAATTGGATCAAACAGTTGGTGTTTGTTATACGAAGGTGGTTGTTGGAATGAATTGGTGTGGGTAGAAAAGGCAGTGCCGGAGTCACAAGCACACATTATAGATAGAAGAGCATGACGCAGTGGTTAATAAACTTTTCTAAACAAAAGCTAGTGAGTTCAATCCCCTTTGGGACCTGGACTCTTGTGTCTTTTGCCGAATTGAGTAAATATAGATGTTAACCTACATTAGAAAGATTTAGTAGACTAAATGGCTGTCTAAGTGTCTATTTCTTTGTTCAGTGATTTTACATTTGTGTTTGTTTCGCATGAATCTCCTTCGCCAGTGATTTTGACCATTTCATTTCCGATATGGCCATATATTTAGCAGAGTCTAAAATATATTAGCACTTGGTCAAAATATTTTACACGTAACTAAAGCCTAATTAAATAGAAATTGTTACACATTTTGTCACACATTTCAGCAGAGGCGAGTCATATATAAGTTGTGTGAAAAATAGTGAACGGTGGTACAAATATCGAATCACCACACTTTATTTTGCCGCAATTTTTTTTTCACTTAAAACCAGAACATACGACTTCAATACGTAAAATATGCCTTAAATAAAATTAGTTATGTTTTTATTTTAAGAGATATAAGAAAAACATTTCCTACTAATATATATATATATATATATATATATATATATATCCAAATGCAATGAGAACGAAAATAATGTAAATTCTAACGTTCACAGAAGTGACGTGCCATAGGCGGCTTGTTTTTGAAAAGAATTGTCCATAACCATTTTCGGTTCCCACCATTCGAAATGCACATAAGCATCGAAACAAGAATGCATCTTTGTAGTGGGTAATCGTTTTTGTCCACATGTAAATATATATATATATATTATATATTTCAAATGAACAAGTGAACAACTAACGACTGCTAGTTTCATATAATTTCTTGAAAGCATATGAAACTGACAGTCGTGGTTGATCACTGCCCACTTGAAATCTGATTTAAAATATATTAAAAGCCCTGACACTTAAGTGCTGGTGTATTTATTTTTTTTTTAGCTTAAATAAAAGAAAACATGATGGAATCACCTTTTAATTTGCATTTCTAAAACAAATACCAGCATCAATATAAATAGGCAAAACACTGCATTTAAAAGAAGGTGCTTTGCAGAGTTTAATGAACTGTTGGACTTGGATAATTAAAGAGAATTCTTGTATTTTTTTCTGGCATTGGGGCAGAGATATGTGTGTTGTATCTGTTTCAGAAAACCTCAATTTTCAGCAGTCATGTGCTTTATTCATTTATTTATTATGAAATTAAAAAAAAAATCACTGGATGGATTTTTTACCAGGCGTTTCATAGTCTCAATATATCTCTCTTCTACATTTATTAAAAATTAAATATTGTGATGATTTTTCTTTCAAAGATAACATATCGCATGTTTAATGTTGCCAAGTTGAAGATAAAATTGTAATTGTCACGCGTAATCTGCCTGCATGAGTTTTCAGCCCGACTACAATCTCTGACTGTGACATTAATCAAGTATGGTGGACGAAGCTGTGACTTTAGAAATTGCAGTAAATGTTGGCTTCTGAAGTCCCAAAATGGAGACAAAAGTCTCCAAGTGGGCGGCCAAACATATTTGCAAATGATCAATTAAAAGAGTTGATAAGAAATCAAAATCGCCAAAACTTTCTTTAAATTAACCCAAAATTTAAACATTTCTCTCTCCATGAACTTTAAGCAAATGAAACAAATTGAAGTAAGCAAATTTAAATGGGTGTATCGAGAATTCACGAAAAAATTAGAAAAGCTACAATTTCAAAATTTACTGAATATTTGCTGAGGCTGAACAAAACCAAATCCAATTTCTTGAACGAATGATTAATGCTGTATAACAACTGAGAAAATGTCTACAAATTGAATTGACCATACTGAATGTTCTAAATTTTGTCTTTCACAAAGGGAGATTATAATGCTTATCGCCAAAAACTGGAAAACTCGCACACAAAAATTATGTGAAGATCAGTCTCAAAGGTCACCATGTTTGCCTCATAAAATTTTCGGGCATATGCTGCACAACTGAAACTGCACACTCTCAATGCACTGGACTTTAAACTTTGCCCCTCCCTCCACGTTTTTCTAAGAGAAGACACGCTAAAACAGCACTAAATGGTGATCCTATTGGTAGTCCGAATGTTTGCTTAGAAACATCTTTGTCGAAAGTGAAATAACATTGGCTTGTGATGAGTCAGCATTTTTAAAAAATAAATTTATCATTTTATTTATTGAGAGGGACAAGTAATTTTTTTTTAAATTCAGAAATGTTAAAGTTAAGAGTTTCTCGCTATGTTTAACTATGTCCGACGTTTATTTATAGTTTCGGTATTTTCCACTACCTATATATGATTCCATGAATAAAAAAAAATATTTAGTCTGAAGAAGTCCTTTAGAACGACGAAACACGTTACGTAGAATGCTTTCCATTTTGTCAATCATTTACTGAATTTTATTCTAATATATAGAATTTATTTATTCTCCCACAATATTTTAAATCAAAAAGAGTTTACTAAGATGGAAAAGAAATCAATAAGACCGTTATATATGATCTTACTTCTTGTGGGTAATGAAGTTGAAACTAAATACATCGATATTCCGGAATGTGGCCAGGAACACAAGTTTTTAACAGTCGCTGATGTAGAAGAGATAGGGGAAATGCAGGGTCAGATAAAAAAAATTATTGAATTGTTATTTACGATAAAGAAAGGAGCCAATACATCAGTGGTGGAGTTCCTATCATGGGGGTTTAAGTTCAAGTCGCGTCGGAGGCTATTTCTTTACTTCTTATTCCCTCGGCTTACTTTAACGATCGTAGAATCTAACAAATTGTGATAAAAAACAACTATCAGATCAAAGAAAAATGTGTAAAAAAAAACAAAGGTAATTTATTATTAAATGTGACACCGTCTACCTTGAGTGGCAGGTAAGCCGCGTATTGGGTAAAAAAAAAGGTTTGATATTGAAAAGAAGATTCTAGAACAGAGATAGAATTGTAAGAGACAGATAATGCAGATTAAACCTACATAGAGGAAAGACGATAGAGAAATAACAAAATTAGAATGACTAGGAGCCACTCAAGGAGGAGCCGCTGTTATTTCGTGAGGAGGCATAAACTAAAGGAAAAAATATTCAGATGACCTAAAGCCAAGTAAACTTGGAGTTTTTTTTTTAAGCGTTTCACCCCAAGCAAGGCAGGAACCCACTAGCATGCAAGGGGTCACAGAGAGTTGGAGAAAGAGCAAATAGGAGTGATAGAGGAAAGGATGAAGAGAAGGAGAGGAGATAGATTAGGGCATCTGAAGACGTCAATTGACATTACATTTGAATAGTTGGAGATTATAGCTATCAGGGAAACAGGAAGAGTGGAGGGGGTCCACAGGCGAGAGGTGAGAGACATAAAGCTATTAGAGTAGAAGAGACGGCTACATTAACAGTTTTGACAGTGAAAGGGTGTGAGCGAGATGCCAGCCTAGTAGGACGCTTAAATTCATGAAGTCTGGGAACCAGCGAAAGCAGTTCATCGGAGCAGTTACCATGAAAGTATTTGTAAAAAAGACAGAGGGGGGCAACAGCACGTCTGTGAGAGAGTGACTGCAGACGAGATGCCAGATCAGGGCTAATTATATTGCATATCCGTCTCTTGATCTTATCAAGAACCTTGAGACAAACAGAAGGAGCACCTGACCATTTATGGCAACAATACTCCATGGAAGGGCGAATGGTTGATTTGTAGATTTGAAGGATCGACTCCGACGTGAAAAATTTCCTGGCGCGGCACAGGGAGTCAACTTTACTTGCGGTGGACGAAACTATTGACTCAATGTATAGTAAATTATAAAATCAAACAAAGGCAGATACAGTTGAAACTAAATTAGAGGAATTGAGAGAGTGGCATTTTGTGTGTGTGTGTGTGTGTGTGTGTGTGTGGAAAGAGAGAGTAATGACGAAAATATGAAGCGGGGTCGGAATTTGTTGACTAAAAAGAAAAAAAAGAAAGAAGGAAAAACATGATTGTGGGGGTAAAAAGAAACGAGGACCCCGCAGAAATATAACAGATGTCTTTAAATGAAGAAATAAGAAATAGTCTCTGTTTTAACATAAAAGACATGTTTGTTGCTTCTTTTCCCCTTCTAAATGTTTGAAACGTTAAAACTGAATAGCTTGAAGGAAATGAAATCTGCAAACTACTCTAGAATAGCTGGGTTATGTACACGTAGGTACATGTTATTTTACACCAGAATTATTTTTATTTTATTTCTTCCTTGTCAACAAATTTAATCGATCGCTTCTCCATTAATCGCATACGTATCAATATTCGAGATTTATTAGCTATAAATAGATACATAAACATGTATATATGGTAATTTTTATTTATTTAATTATTTTATTTGTATAGTCATTAATTATTAATTATAAAAACTGAATTGAAATTAGTCAAAATCTAATTTCTATAACGATACATAAGATTTTTTATAAGAAAATAGGATTTTAATATAAGAATATAAAATTTTTAATAAGATTTTAATGGAAGAATATAAGATTTTTAAAAAGATTTTAATGTAGGAATATAAGATTTTAAGATTTTAATGTAACAATATAAATTCTTAAGAAGATTTTAATATAAGAATATAAGATTTTTAATAAGATTTTAATGTAAGAATATAAGATTTTAAGAAGATTTTAATGTAAGAATACAAGATTCTAAGAATATAAGAGTGAAACTTATTTATTCAAATTATACACATCAATTTATGAATATACATCAGCAGTGGGATGCTTGATCCATTTCCTAAAATCTAATGAAATATCAACATTTTTGCCACCACCCACCCAGTCCTCCCAAATAAAATCAGCTTTTATTTCACAATAGTCACCATGCACATGTTGCAGTTTTTTTGTGTATATATACTATAACTAGGTTATTTATTTGACAAAAGTTACAAATTGTGGCACAAGGCCGAAAAGGGGAGGGGTAGAGGCTGGTCCAAACTAACTATCCTATACCTAGCTAATCAGATTCACGACCCATTCATACATT